ATAGAGAGAGAGAGAGAGAGAGAGAGAGAGAGATTCGCTACCTTCTCTCCTGGAAGGTAGCGAATCTTTTTTGTCCCTTGGGGGCATACACTTCCTCTGAGAAGGAGGGGAAAAGGGAGGGAAGAAATCAAACTAGAAACAAGAGGAAGAGGAAGAAGGAGAGGAAGGGAGAGAAAGAGGAGTGGGTCAAAAAACTATATTCAGTGGGGATTTATAGACAGACCCCTTAGTGCTCTGATTATCTGTTCATATTGATGGGACGACATTGAAGCCACGCTGGTGGAACGCTGAGACGGTGCTGAAGCCAAATTGGGTAGAGAGTGTGTGTGTGTGCGGGGGGGTGGGGGCTTCGGGGGTGTTGAGGAGAATCACTAACAAGTCTCTGCTTATCCTCTGACTCACTGTTTTTAACACACATACCCAGACACATGTGTACGCACACTCACATGCAGCTAAAAACAAAGATAACTAGCACGCTGACGCACAAGCATAAGAAATCAGACACACTGTACATGTGTGTGTGCATGTGTGTGTGAATGAGAAAATGATTGTGTTTGTGAGACACAGCGAGTATGTGTTTTGTGCCAGACACCAAGAGATGCTTTTTTGTGCGTGTGTGTCTGCGTGTTTTCCCAATCTCTCGCTCCTCTTTAATAATTGAGCTGATTCTGTCCAGCTTGTTAGGGAGGTACACAGCAGCTTCACACTCTCTCTTCTTCTCCCTCTCATCCTCTCTCTCCTCATCCTTCCATCTCGCCGCTCTCCCTTCATTTATCACTCCTCTTCCTCCCTGACCCCTCCGTCCTCTCTCTCTCAGTCCCTTCCCCCCCGAGCTCTCTCCTCTCCTCTCCCTTCGCAAATCCCTCCTGTTCTTTGACCTCTCCCTCGCCTCTCGCAGTTTCAACCCCCCCCTCCACCCCGCTGCCCTCCATCATCCCTCTCCTCTTGTCTCCCTCCCTCCATCCTCTGGAGGTGAAAGGTCGAAGCTTCCTCTCCACTGTCAGACTCAAACCGGCTGCAACCAGCCCTGTGGGGGGTGAGGGAGAAAAGGAGAATGAGCAGAATGGGGAGGTAGGTGAGGAAGGACATAGGAAAGGTGGGAGGGAAGGAGAGAGGGAGATAAGTTGAAGAAGAAGAAAAAAGGACTGACTAAAGCAAAGATGGGGGGGCAGAGGGGTTAAAAGAGTGAAGGATGCGAGAGGAAAGAACAGGGAGATGTTTTTTTTTGCCAATGACACGGAGGAGAGGTTTTATGAATGTATCGTGTGGGAGGTGATAGAATGGAGCACAAACACTGTTTACACTAATGCTAAATGGCTGCTGCTGTGTGTGTGTGTGTGTGTGTGTGTGTGTGTGTGTGTGTGTGTGTGTGTGTGTGTGTGTGTGTGTGTGTGTGTGTGTGTGTGTGTGTGTGTGTGTGTGTGTGTGTGTGTGTGTGTGTGTGTGTGTGTGTGTGTGTGTGTGTGTGTGGTTAGGGGGGGAGCTATTTCACTGCAGGTGTAGATTAGATTAATAGGAGTCACAAAAGACAGGACCCTACACCGCAAGGACAAAGTAATGACTAATTGTTTCATCCAGTCGCTCGTTGTGGAAAATATTAAAAGAGGAAGAAATATTCAGAACATGAGCAATTAGTCAATATTAACGTCTTATTGAACTTTAAGAAGTTTTTGGACAGCAGACAATGGAAACCTTACAGTATAACATCTCTGATTTGGAAACAACAGCAAAACAAACATGTGTGTATTGTGTATCTTAGTACAACTAGCCATATGCTGATAGATATAACATCTGAATGTAGCTTAGAGCTCCTAACGAGTGCGTTTTTTTCTCTACAAAGAGATTTTTTATTTGAATCTGTGCCCTAAATCAGTTTCTTATGTATTTTGGGTTGGATTTCAAGTGCTGAATAAATGGCCTGGCTCATTCACAACACTGGAATAAAATCCCTTTTCCTAAACGGCAGTCATATATAAATGTGTTTTGAATAGTTCAAAGGGAAAGTGCCAGATTGATCTTCAGCTGACTTTCACAAAACGTCTGTAAGCAAAGAGAAAAGCTCTTTGTTGCGTTTGACAAATCGTGAGCGCAGCTAGAAGCCAAATTCCTAAAATGAGATGCGTTATATGCCCAAAATATTTTGGGAAATTCAGCGTTAGTAAATACTTCATATCTGATTTATAGATTACTGAAGCTCTGTCAGGGAGCCGGGTTCATATGGTCTCTGTAACTTAAGGTAATATGGTCAATACAATAATATTATAATTATAATAACTATAATCCTATTTGTATAAAACGTTCTTAGTGCAAAAATATGTGAAGAAAACCAAAAATAAGTACATAGTTATAAAACTATACACCTTTAGTCTAATGGTAAAAAAAAAACACTAAACGGAAAGTGTGGACAAAAAGCTAAACATAACAAAAGAAACATAAAGGACATCATTTCACGTCTGTCCTTGTGTCCTTGTGTCCTTGCTGTTAGAGGAATCCCTGTTTCAGGTTTCTATGTTAACCCCGTAATTGTGGCGTTTCTTTTGAGCAGTTGTTTGCACTTAAAGAGTCTAAGAACAGAGTAGGTCATTTGGGAAATTGGGCTCTATAAAAAAATAATGTTGATTGATTGATTGACTGACAAAGCAAAATAAAAGTTACAAATCTCGCATTGAAAAAGGCATTTCTATACAAATATGTTTTAAGAAATGATTTCAAAACAGGTAAATATGCTGTCAAGCTCAATCTTTTCAGGAAGGGAAAGAAATCTAGTGATACTGATGGCAAACACCCGGTCATATTAGTCTCCCACCTTGACCTGCCAGCGGGGCTTAAGGATCTGAGGACTTGGAGTTTTGGGAGTCAAAAGATTGGTAATACAACTGGGGGGCCGTATTTGGAGCCTCAAAAGATTATTTAATCAATCCTGAATTTAACTAGCAAACAATGAAGGAAGGAAAAACATTTTTTTGGTAAACATGTTTAGACATGCTGCATCAGCATCTATTAACTTTATCTTAGCCGCTATTCAACAGGTTGAACTATCCTAAACAAAACTTCCAAAAATACCAGGACACCGGTGGAAATCAATAGAGATAAATCACCAATCAATGTGTCTATGTACAGTTGTGCACGTGTGTGTGTGTGTGTGTGTGTGTGTGTGTGTGTGTGTGTGTGTGTGTGTGTGTGTGTGTCCATTCTGTCTTCTCCATCTCCATGACGACCTCCATATCAAAAGGACATCTGACTACAGCACCCTCACATGCTGATAGGCAGAGAGAGAAAACAGGTGATTGGTTGAGCGTTAGGCTGTCATATCTGCAGGGTGTATCTTTGTGACACTGCAACACACACACACACACACACACACACACACACACATACACACACACGCTGGCTTGTCACTGTCATCAACCCACACGCCTACGAACTGCAGCAAGACGCAAACAAAAGGTACTTCCACAGCACACACACACATTGAGAGGTACATGCATGCTAACACACACACACACACACACAGACACACACACAGCTTTGAGACGAGATGTGGTGTGTTAGGTGCGCTGACCCTGCCAATGAGGACAGGAGGAACATCAACGGAGCTACAAGGCCGTTGCTATGACAACTAGCCCAGCTCACACAGGTAGGAAGCACAATAGGCCTAAGCTGTTATATGTTCACATTCCCTCTGTTTGTCACACACACACACACACACACACACACACACACACACACACACACACACACACACACACACACATACACACACACACACACACACACACAGGGCCATGCACTCAAGACAAGACTGACAGACAGTGATTGCATGCCAAGGTAAGGCCATTCGCTTTTCCTTCCAGCATTCAGAAGGCTGAAATTATTCATTATGTCCAAGTGGACCTGCCAAAAAGAAACTCAGTCTTCAGCTGAGCCACTCAGAGAGTGAGACAGGCTGAGTGTGAGACAGTCTGAGTGTGAGACAGGCTGAGTGGTAGACAGACAGATGGACAGACAGACAGCCAGGGAGAGCATCACTCTGCATACTAACGGCACCTGCACTAGGGCAGCCTGTGCACGTCTCTGAGGGGCCCCTTAAATAACGAACTGTCACTGCCCAGACATCGACATTGACTTCTCTCTCCCTCTGCTCTCCTTCAGTTTCTCATGCACTCTTTCTCCCTTTGTCCCCCCCCCCCCCCCCCCACAGACAAGAGCTGATAATCACCACCATGAGTACGCCTTGTCTCTCAAGCCCTGTTGCCACTGCAGGATGTGCTGCTGCTGTGTCCTGCCTGTAACTGCCCTGACAACTCAGCTCAGGCGGGCTGCCGGGATGGAAACCCTGCGGCTGGACGGATGCTCACCGGGACTCTTGGTGTCTCCTGTTTATACTAAAAGCAAACACCTGTCCATCACCAGGAGCTGGGCTCACAGTCAAACCTCTGGTATATGTCACTGGCATGTAAATTCAGTCTATGAAAAGTCCCCCACAGAGATATTGAGACAGCAAATAAATAGTGTGTGTGTGTGTGTGTGTGTGTGTGTGTGTGTGTGTGTGTGTGTGGGTGTGTGTGTGTGTGTGTGTGTGTGTGTGTGTGTGTGTGTGTGTGTGTGTGTGTGTGTGTGGTGACAGTACCTGAGGTACTATATACTGTTGCTCTGCCTTTGCTGTATCAATGCTGCTATAATGAGGCTAATAAGTGCTTAGGATATTGCCAAAACTAGAAATTACAGGCGGGATACTCAAGCTTCATTACGCGAACATTTAAAGACATTATATGTGTGTTTTGAAGATCATCATTTAAAACCCCACCACACACGCTGCATGCCCACAGTAAAGATGACCCAGCAGCACGAATGCAGAGCTCAGTCCGTCGTTGGCAGCGACGAGGTTAATGTAAAAACTCAAAAAGGAAACGTAGCCAGAGGTGCGCAGCACAACTGGCTGAGCGGACACTAGGCTAATTTGTTATGTTGTGTACACAAGATGCTGCACGCGCACTCACCAAGGGAGATAGAGAGTCTGGGGGCTCGCTCTGGGGCTCGCGCTGGATGCTCGCGCTGTTGCGGTGTCAACGCTGGCTCGGCGCGGCGGTCGGTGACGCTGCTCCGGTCCTCATCCCGGGTCACGGAGCCGCTGCAGCCGTCAGCCATTGTCCCCTTTCATCTGGTCTCCCCAGACAGCCCTCCTCCCAAACCAATGTAAACGTCTCCGTCCTGCTGTCTCGCGGCACCGTCTCGAATGGCTCAATGGAAAAAACCGCTCCTCTCGCTCACACCAATCTCTGCACCCACAAAGATGGGAAAGCAAAACACAAAAGGAGGGAAAAAGATTAAATAATGGAGAGGCTGGGAGGTTGCTTCACAGTCTTGTCCGCAAATAAAGTGCAGGACATTACCGCGCTCGAGCCCTGTGCTTCGGTTTTGGTGACAGGCACGGGAACTCACCACGGTATGCGGGAGGCGAACACGGTGTGCGTTCTCTGCCTCTGCAATTCCAGCTCTCTGTCTCTCGTGCGCCCCAGTCTCCGCTGGTGCCTCTCCAACGTGCCTGACTGTCAAAGCCATCCGGGCACCCGTAGCTGGCCTCACTTTACCACTTGTGGAATTGTGGGGAAACAGTAGTTTACTTACAAACTGAAAGAGAGCATGCGTTAATGAGGAAGAGAGAGATATACACAGACAACAGTGGGAGGAACTGCCACTGAAAGGGATGGAATAGAGACTAATGATATTTTATTATAAAACCTAAAGTTAAAAATGTATTTACGCGTGGTCTATACTAAATTGCCTGAAGAGACAAAAAATGTATTTATAACTTGCCTTTGTATATATTGTTGTTTTCCCTTAAAGCACAAAAACTTGAAGAATAAATCCTCACACAAGCTTTCAAATGTTACTTCATGAAAATACTAAAAAGGATAATACAAATGGTAAATGCAGACCAAAGGAAAGTGGTTATTCCTCTTTGTATATTGCAATGTGATGGCATCTTCTTTGACATAATCTAAGGAGGAAGCATCAAACCAGAAAACGTAAATATCCAAAAACACACAGGAAGAAAGAGACATTAATTAACCCAGTAAAGATATTTGATCTTTATTATAATAACATGACAGGGGCATCTCATAAAATCACATAAAGGTTACACTCTTGTCAAATAACATATTTGAAACCCTGTCTGTCCAGGGACATTGATCATTCCCTTTACGTGTAACATTTCATTCTGCCTTCCCAATGGATGAAAACTACATGGTAACTAGATATAAAAGTCTTTGTGATGCACAGACCTATCTGCGTTAAATTAAAACAGCAAAAGAGACAGTTCTTACAAAATTGTAATATGATCAGAAAAACAAAAAGCAGTCCTTCCCACCTCTCCTCTCAGACTTTACTAACATAGTATTGAAGGCAACGCAGATCCATATTTTGACCACTTTAAGGAACAGTTGCAAATCAGTTCCCTCTTTCAGGAGATTGACATGGATTAGTTCAAAAGCTTTTTTATTTATTAGTCAGATTACGGTTTGAGGAGGAATTTTATTTAACCTCAAATGTCTGTGTACATAAAATACCTTACAGTAATGCGACAACTAAAGACTTTCGTTTTCGATTTACCTGTTGATTATTATAATGTCACAATAGTAAAAAATGTCCAACCCATTTGTCTCTGTCCAAGGTGAAGTATTTAAATGTCATGCTGAGTGTGAGACCGGCTGAATGTGAGACAGGCTGAGTGTGAGACAGGCTGAGTGTGAGACAGGCTGAGTGTGAGACAGGCTGAGTGTGAGACAGGCTGAGTGTGAGACAGGCTGAGTGTGAGACAGGCTGAGTGTGAGACAGGCTGAGTGTGAGACAGGCTGAGTGTGAGACAGGCTGAATGGTAGACTGTTTTTCCCAAACCCAAACATATTAATTTTAACATGAAGTAAAACTGAGAAAAGCAGTCTCCATATTTTAGAGACTGAAAACAGCAGTGTCTAAAATAACGACTTTTTGATTGGCAATTACTCATTTGTTGATGCGCAAATCGACTAGTTAACTAATCTTTTGCCGCTGTACGTCCCAGGGTTCACTTCCTGTTTTCTGAAACCTGTTGCAGCTTTTACCTTTTATGGATCCATATATTTATCAAACAGTTGCCCTGCTACACGTTTCTTCAGAGGAATCAGAAGGATCTGCACAATGCACATATATGGCAGCTGAACACATCATGTACCAACTCGACTCCCCCCCCTCAACCAGCTACTTCTTCTTTCTGTTCCTTGTTGTCATGGTTACAGAGTAAAGCAACATTACTGTGAGGCCTGATCAGCAGAGCTCCGACGCTTCAACGTGGTTGGCTGATCGTTCCTCAAGCTGCAGTGATCAATCAAAAAGGAGGAAACTGTCTTTAAAACAATAGAACAAGGCAATGATATGTATCTTAATATGTGTGCATGTACAATAAGTGTGGAACAAATACAACGAAGGCATATCAGTGTATCTGCATGTAATACGTCCACATCTGTCTGTCTCTCTGTTTGTCCGTTTATTGTTCCACATCTGTCCTGCGCGTTGTGCGGTCACAGGTTGTCTCCGGGCTGGTACTGCGGCTCTGTGGCCGTGAAGTAATCCTCCAGGAAGGACTGCAGGTACTCAAAGGTGTGCCTCTCGTCGGCCTCACGCCTCCAGCACTGCACCATCAGTTCATGGAGCGAGGCGGGGCTGCCCGGGGCGCAGGGCATCCTGTAGCCCCGCTCCACCTGCTCCAACACCTCACGGTTGTTCATGCCTAAAGGGATGGAGGAGGGGGGGGGGGTTTGGACAGAGGATAGGGAAAAAGGGTTCAGAGAAGGAGGATTGGATTAAAAACAAATCATAAAACACAATAATAAGCACACATTGGATACATCAGATATGGAGGAAAGGTAAAACATATCAAAATAGTAATGGTGTTATTCACACAACTCACGAAACATTTCAAGGATGACATACTGCATTTTTAATCTTTGAATTAACTAGGATGCATCTACAGGTGGTTAGATTAAAAAAGAACACAAACCTAGGATCTTGGATGATTTATTTACTGCAACACTTTGTGGATTTATTGAACTATATAAACGGCAACAAACTGGCAATGATCCAGATCAAAAGTGTTATCTTTTAAGATTGTATTCATCTATTTAATGTCACATTTGGGTGAGGGAAAAGGATGACCTGTGTGCTTTCTTTCAAGGCAGGGTTGCAAGTGATTAAGAAAAGGTCTCCTCTTCCTTATAGTACTTTTATAGTACATTTGAAGCACTCAACAAGAGCTGTCGTGCAGTTTGTATTGGTTACAAATGTGAGTAAACCTTTAAACACTCTTTAACCTTAATCACCTGTCCAGGTTGTTTATGTGAGAAAAATGTGTTCTTGTCCCATTTACTAAGTGAAAAATTATAACAGCAACAGAATGTTTACTGCCAAAGCTGTTACTTAATTTTTTTTAAACTATATAGAAAAGTCTCACACAGCACATTGATTGTGTTTCTTCAAGGCTACTTGAGTTTAAGAAACAGCAGTACCTGGGTAGGGCACACGTCCCTTTGTGACGAGTTCAGTCAGCAGGATGCCAAAGCTCCAGACATCTGACTTGATGGTGAAGCGTCCGTACAACGCCGCTTCAGGAGCCGTCCACTTGATGGGGAACTTCGCCCCTGAAACCATGGCAACACAGTGAAGATGCATAATCATATAATTAGGATAGGTTATGTATACAAATATAGGCATGGAGGGAGAGGCAGACACTCTTAATCATCGCACTCATCATCATCGAGCAAGCGTGGCTCTCATCATTTGTCTGTCTCTCACACTCACACACTTAATATCTCACGTAGTTACCTTGTCTGGCCGTGTACTCGTTGTCCTCGATGAGCCTAGCCAGGCCGAAGTCAGCGATCTTACACACCAGATTTTCTCCAACGAGGATGTTGGCCGCTCGCAGGTCACGATGGATGTAGTTCATCCTCTCGATGTACGCCATTCCAGCTGCAATCTACACACACACACACACAAACACACACACACACACACAGAGAAAAAAGATCATTGAGATAGTGAAAACATGTCCTTAAGACTGTCTTTGTGTGTCTACTCACCTGTGCAGCCATGTCCACCAGCTGAGGCAGCTTCAGACTGTGACCCTCTCCGTCTTTCAAGAAGTCCAACAAACTTCCTGAAAAACAAAGATTGTTACATAATGACTGGAAGTCCTTACGCCTCCTGTACCTCAGATATGAGTATTATAGTCCAATTCATATGAAGATCTTTTTTTGAAAATTCATAGTGACACTATTTAGTAAATATCTGTGTTTGTCCTGCATGAACATCCAGACTTTTTAATCCTAAATATTTTTGTGAAGGCTGACTTTATGTTTTACCTGGCCCAGGCTACCTTTACACAGGTCAAAGGTCAGAGGATCAAAGGGAATCCCTTGATATTTGGATATTGTCCAGGGTGCGTTCCAGTACCAATACTAATATAATCTTTAGTATGCCAAAAAAATATATGGCATATCCCAATACATAAGCCAAATACAGTATGGCAGAAATACCAGGATGTCCTACTGCTGCATTTTACAAGACAGGCTTTCTGGCTATTCTACCCCATCATCCTCTGTGCAGCAGAAAGTATATCACACTGACTAAACCACCATGACAGCATATAAACAAGTGTGTTCCAAATCACATTTTTACTTCAAATGTCCTGCTCGCAATAAGATTCAAGAACCAAGAATGATGTCCCAGTTGTATGCATAGAACATGGAGCAGTTCATACTTTCTAATGGCAGCTGTAATACAAACTAAAAGTAAAAGTATGATATTTGGAAGTGAGCCTGAAGCGTACCTCCCTTCCACCAAATGTTTTGCTTTTTCACCCACTTAAATAAAATAAATTACATTATTATTATTTAAGTAATTATATAAAAACTGATATAATGTTATCTATTTCTATTATCCTGTATATTTATTATATTCATCTTCATCCATCTTTTGTACATTAATTATTACATCATTTTTTCAAGTATTCCTCTTAAAGGAAAAAAAACACTGCTGATTTCTTAAGAGCTGATTTCTTAGAGTCAGCGAGGTTTCAAACATAGAGCAGTTATTCACACTGTATCTACATTGGTAGGCATGACAGTCTACTCAGCCTGGTACCTTGGCTCATGAACTCAGTGATAATGTAAATGGGCTCCTCTGACACCACGGCGTAGAGCTGGACCAGCTTGTCGTGGCGGAGTCTCTTCATGATCTGAGCCTCCTCCAGGAAGGCCTCGGGGGACATTGTCCCCGGCTTCAGAGTCTTCACCGCTACCTTGGTGGTGCCGTTCCACATGCCTGGCATACAGACAATGATATGTTAATACACACATGGACACACAAGGACATGCTGCGCAGGCATGCACATCCATTTTCTGGCATAATTACAATGTGATGGCTGTATATACAGTACATATATACACTACGTATACTAGGACATATACAAAAAC